GCTCTCTCTCTCTCTTCTCTTCTTCTCTCTCTCTCTCTCTCTTTCTCTTTCTCTCTCTGTGTTTTTCTCTGTTTTCATTCCCGAATCCATCCGCTTTGTGGCTTGTAACTCGCGAGGTTCCGAGAGATAACTCAATCCGGGGTTGTCTAACTCCGCTTCCTGTCGTCTCGGGATACCTGGAGTGTGTCGGATAAACCTTTCGCGAACGTTCGTCTGATTTCCGCTTAAATGACTCGCAAACTTCTCGAAGAGGAAACGTTCCGCGCGTCGCGAGGAGGGTGGGAAATCGGGAAAGCGACGAGATCTCGTCCCGTCCGTCCTCCTTCGAGGATTTCGAGCGACGTGTAAGATCTCTCCGCGTCGATCTCTCGTCGATCCGATCGACGGCGCCCGACGTGCGACGAGTCCGAGACTCCCGTCGGGGCCTCGATTCGCGGCCTCGAAATCACGAGGACGACGAGATGAAACGGTAACGCGGGCATTCGGCTTCCTACACTGTTGTATCGAGGGTATTCGCGGGAACGCGCGATAAAAGGGGACTTCCTCCTGAAGGGGTTCCTCGTCTGGTTGGTAGGCTCGAGATTTTACGTGGGCAACCCCGCGCGGAGACAAAGAGAGTGAAAAACGAAAACGAGAGACGAACGAGAGGGAAAGTTGAGGGATCGGGATATCTCTCTGCCGTGTGTAGGCAGCACGAGTGAGGAGTTGTCCGGTTGTTTCTCGCCTTGTCGAGGGAATCGATCGCGACTAATTAGCCGGACGTCGCGGCCAGGAAAGAGGGGGGAGATGCGCGGATAGATACGCGATGGCGATTTCGATCGGTGACTTTTGAACGATCGACAAGACGGATTTGCGACGGTCGGAAAGACGATCGGAAGAGCCCTTCGAAGCGATTTGCTTGCCGGTATCTCTGTCTCGTCGAGGCTGTGCGAAGAACGAAAAGTTCAGGATCTACCGCTCCCAAGTTTTCGCTAAATTGCTGGATCTCGAACGGATCGATGCTGTTATCACGACGAAGAATTTCGCCGAGGCGTGGCAATTATCGGTACGAACATCAAGCGATAAAAACTTCGTTACGAAATTACGAGGAAATTATCTAGTTAGTTGCTAAAGAGAGCGTGAATTTTTTTTTTTTATTCTAACGAAATTTTATTTAGGAAATAATGTTAACGTGTTTCTTAAAGTGTATTGTGTGTTTTCCTGTTAATTCTCTTCCTTAATTGTACATAGCATTGTACTTTATATCAAATATAACATTGAAGGGGTATAATGAAAAAGTGTTTTTCCATGGAAAAAACAATTTTTTACAAATTGTAAAAGAGCATAAATTAGAAATTAGATATCTTTTAAAGTGTTATTTCTTTTTCATTAACTTATTTGTTAAATATATATTTATTTATAACAGAATATTATAAAAATATTCGTTATATATTTCTTAATTTTTTTATGTGCACGACGTGAAATGTTATATTTTGTAATATTAGTATTAACGATCTTTTATTAAAGACAGAAATCTGATCATTAAAGAAAATAGTTGTGGTGTAAAAATGAGAGATGGTTGAGGTCGATGCAAGCCAAACGTCTGAACAGAAAATTGATTTATTACTTTTTTAAAGGTAAAAAACAATCGAAACGTCTCTATACAAAGCGATCTTCGGTATACTTCGCTTTGTCTACACTTCAATTCCCGGATTCTCCGCATTTTTATTGATTTGTTCGTCTTGTATTGGCCGTCACTGTTTCTACGGTTTTTAATCGTCCCGAGCTTTTTTCGCACTTTTTAAGGAAAAACAGCGACATTAAAAAGCACCATTAAATTATAAAAGAGCTAAATTGTTATTTTATATTAAGCTTAGCTCTATTAAATTTAGAATTTGTGCAAATTCAGTATTTGTGCGAAATTGGCCGAAGAGTCTGCAGATTAAAAATGTGCGACCGAGTCAATATGATTCTCTATATATTTTATTCTGCATATATAATTTTTATATTTAATATAAAAATGTATCGAGAGAGAGAGAGAGAGTATATAG